GAGGCCCCTGCCGGGCAGGAGCCTGTCTGGAGGGGGAGAAATCAGGGAGGCGAGACTAATTAAATCAACAGTGAGGGGCCACCTCTCATCTGTGAAATGAAACAAAATAAAACAGGAAGAAAAATAACAGTCTGTGCTGTTTAAGGCGCCGTGAAGCGATCATCCACATTTTTAAAAGGGGGAGATGTGTTATTTTTCAGGACCCTTTAACCCAGTGAACCCAATTTTCTCCCCTAAGGAAAATCCCATCAACACGTTGGAAAGGCCGTCTGCACCAAGATATTCATTACAGTCTTATTATTTACGTTAGGAAAAAAAGATAACCTAAGAGGTGTCAAAACAGGAGACAGGTTCAGTAAACTACACAGTTGTTCAAATGCCCGAGTCTCGAGGCTGGAGAGTAACATGGGAGAGGGGGCTGCGGGACGGCAGGGCCCTGATCTTAATGCTGTAAAATGAAGACAAGGGAAGGAGAGACGTGCGAAGGTGAAACAGTGCCGGAGGGGCGGCAGGCGAGCACTTCCCCAGGACTTCCGTAAAGCGCTGCACTGACTCCATGGTGCATTTGAAAGAAGCCCGTTCCTTCTTCGCTGTGCTGGGAGAGATGCTGAAGCCCAGAGTGAACTTGGCAGCTCCGGGCCTGGGACAAGCACGGGGGCAGGTGTTTCTGGGGAGCTGTAACCACACAGCTTGGGTAGCTCAGGGGGGAGCCCAGCACCCTCAGGCCCCTGTTCTGAGCTTGTCGCCTTGCTCATGTTGCACTCCTGTCCTGTCAGGTTCTGGCTCCCGTGCTCGGGCACCCTGCCTCATCCTCAGCTCTACAGTGTTTGTCTTCAAGACTGTACTGCGGCTGACTTCCCCGGACAGCCCAGCGCCCCCCAGCCCAGCCCCACCCTTCTCCCTGTGGCTTGGCAGGCCTGTCTGGCATTGCTACTGAGAGGCCTGGGGACAGGGCCTCACCCTCACTTTCCTTGTGGCTTTGAAGCTGCCGCACTGGCAGAAACTCACTGCTGCCATGTCCCCTGTATTTAATTAAATTAATTAATTAATTTATTTATCCTCACCTTAGGACATCCTTATTAATTTTGTAAAGAAAGGGGGGGAGAGGGAGAGGGAGAGGGAGAGAGAGGTGAGAGAGAAACATTCATCTGCTGCCTCCTGCACACCCCCCAGTGGGCACTGAGCCCACAACCTGGGCATGTGCCCTGACTGGGAATTGAACTCGCAACCAGCCGAGCCACACCAGCCAGGGCTGTTTCTTGTACTTTCAGATAGGCTTTATTTTTTCCTTTCACATTTAAAATTTTAGATTTGGAATAAATCTTATAATCTAAGCATTCTTCCAAGGAGGTAATGTTTCTTTTTTTTCTCTCTGAAAGCCTGCTATTAAATTGATGGATGGTGTGTCTTGCAATGGCTGGCACCTTAAAACTGAGGAAATTCAGCAATTTAACACTGGGGTGTTGTGAAATCAAGTGGACTGAGGACTACCACCTGAGAACCTTCTATTTCCTTCCAAAAGCAATTACCTCTCTGTCCTAGAAATGTGGCTGCCTCCAGAGCAAACTGCTTTCCAGTTCTGAGAGGAGAGAGAATTGCTGAAGCATTTATAGCTGACAGGTGAAGGGAGGTCCTATAGACACCCTCAAGAATACCCAAACGATACTTCCCAGCTCAGCTCTGTCCACGAAAAAGCCTGACCAACCTGGTAGCCATGAGCATCCCAAGAGGCCAGATTATGGTCTCTAAACACCATTTCCCACTAGAAGGAGCCAGGGCTTTGTGGAGAAGTGACTGAGTCCATGTCTGGGAGAAGAAATATACAAGATGAATACACTTGAAACTTATATAATAAAAGAATTTTTAAAAAAGAAATATATAAAATGAGCCTGGAATGTCTTGTCACGTCCGAGAGCAGGGATGCTGTCAGAGACTACTATTTAAAAACAATCCAGGCGCTCCCAGTAGACAATCGAGCATCAATAGGATAAAAACTACAATAGACTGAAGCCCCCCAAACACATTATATTTAAATCCATGATGATGACAGTCAAAAAGAAGCATACATTTTAAAGGATGCTAGAGAAATAATCTGTCGTTTTAAAAACTAAAAAATGAAAGGAAGGAATTGAGCATTTAGACTGCCTTTTCTGTTTGAATTATACCTCAGAGTAATCAAATAATTGAGGGACAACTTCTCTTTACTGATGAAAAAAGGAATGATAGGATCAGTGTAGCACCAGTTTGCAACCCCTAATAAAGTAATGCACCCAGCCCCTGAGCTTTGGCCACCAGCATCACAAAAAGCCTGACAACCCCTGAAGGGAATAAACAATGACATCCATACCCCAACAACCAAACCTCAACCTGATCGGGCCTCTAGATCTAAGAAACAATTTATAAGAAAAACAGGGGCCCAAGGAGCAGGTTAAACAATATCACAGCGATGCAACAAGTAAAATCCGTACTCTACAGGGCAAAAAAATCTCTAGTCTCTTCAAAAGGTAATTTATTTGAAAAATGAAAAAAGATGGAAGGAAAGCAAGAAATTTTAAGAGGCTTAAAGAGACACATCAACCAATCACACTGTATAAACCTTAAACTGGGTTTCAAATCAACCAATCACAATGTAGGGACCTTACTTGGGTCTCAAATCAACCAATCACAATGTAGGGACCTTACCTGGGTCTCAAATCAACCAGTCACAATGTAGGGACCTTATCAGGGTTTCAGTTCAAGAAATAATCTATTAAAAAAATTGTCACGAGAACAGGGATATGCTGGATATCTAGTAATCTAAAGAATGATTGTTAATTTTTGTTTTAGGTAAAATAATAGTACTGAGATTGTTTTCTTTTTAAAGTCCTTATTGTTTAGAGACACATACTGAAATATTTAGGAATGAGATCCTAGCAGGCCTGGGATTTGCTGCAGTGTAATCTGGGCTGAGGGGCAGTAGGGTGGGCGTGCACGAACAAGCAGAGTGTGCAGCCGGGAGCTGGGTCCATGGACTCCAAGTCTAAGCAGGCAGGCGTGTGACTTGCCAAAATGCAGCGCACACAGTGGCCCCTGGGTAGGCAATAGCTGCAGGTCATGAGGGTCACGGTGAAGGGGTACCTCACAGGAGCAGGGAGGGGCCTACTGCTGGCCCCACACTTGCTCGAAGCCAGGCAAGGGTGCAGCTGTGATGTGGCAATCCCCTTCCCACCCTCCAGCCACAGGATTTGTTGTCCCCATCCTCCTGATAAGACAACCAAGGCGGAGGAACAGGTATAACGTAGTGGTTACATGCATGGGTGCTCTCCCAGGACCTGCGTTCTAATCATGACTCTGCCGCTCAGCTGGTCTGAGTGACCTCCGGCTAGTTTTAACCTCTCTCTCCCTCAGTTCACATGGGTGCCTATCAATCATATTGTTAAATGTAAGAATATCTGTAACCTGCTTAGCATAGCCTAGCATCTGGCATTTAACAATTGCTAAAAAAAATGGCTATAAATTTTTTTTTTTAAATATAGTTTTAGTTATTATTAACATTACTATTATTATTAAAGAGGTTAAGAAACTTACCAGCTGGCAAGGGGCAGAGGCATGATTTGAACTCTCACCTCTCTACTCCCCTAGGCTCCCCTGGTTCACACACCTAGGCAGGGCCAGGCAGGAAGCTGTCCTGAGGGGAAACAGTACTACTCTGCAGGTTCTGGACCCCATAGGACGACGCTGTATTTGAGGTCTGTACACTTACTGACGACCCAACCTGGGCTCATGAAATCTGGCAAGTGCAGAAGAAAGTGCAGAGACTTCCTCAGCAATCACCTTCTGTCTCAGGAGGGGACAGCTTTCTGTCCTTGAGAGGCGAGGTCGCTCATATGTAAACCAGGGCCACTGTGCTCGAGGCTGGAGCTAAGCATGGTGGAGAGAACACAGTGGAAGCAGGAGAACCTGGCCTCGAACCCTGCCTGCCACTTCCAGCCGTGTGGTCCTGGGGGGAGTCCTCTCCCTTTCTGAGCCTTGGTTTCCTTGACTGTTAGATGGGATGACCATAGACCTCATGATTGGCTGGGAGAAGGTGGAAGAGGGGCTGCTATTTGATGTTTAAATCTCAAGTCAAAGATGCAGGACAGGTCCCCATGCCCCTGCTGCATGGGAGTTAAGCTTACGACACCTACTTGTCCAGGGTGCGGGAGTCATCCGTGTACTCAGGGAGGTCATTTAAGTCTCTGGGGGAGGCGGAGATCTGGTGTAGGCTGATGGGCAGTGCCTGGCCATCCTTGCCTACCACTTCCAGGCCTGTGAGTCCGAGGTAGTGCAGGTCCCCCCAGGAGGCAGTGAAATTCAGCTGAAGGCCTGCAACAGGAAGAAAGTGGCCATGAACACTGCAGTTCTGGAGAAGGCACCTGAGATGGAGACGAGAAGAGGGATGGTCTTTAGCATCTGACTCGGCCAGCTTGAAAACCCAGACACAAATGAGAGTGCCTTCAGGCTGGGCTCCGCACCATTCCTCAGGTGGCCTCGGGTTGGGACACTGCTGATGTTCAGGAAATGTTAGCGGGATAAATGGGCCAGTGCTGTTGAAACCTGCGCACAGCCCTGGATCCTTTCTCTACCTATTGATCAGGTCATCCCACTTGATGTTTAACACCCAGTGTGGCTTCCCATGATGCTTGGTCAACAAGCCTTGCCCATCTGGCTTCCATCTTTTCTCTAACCCCATCTTGCACCAGGGGTTCCTGGCTCCACTAAGACATTCACTCACTCATTTAGGTTCTCTCCCCACCACAGGGCCTTTGCTCATGCTGTTCTCTCTCTGGAACTCACATGGCCTGGTTAGCATGTGCTCATCCTCCAGATCCCAGCTAACTTCCTCAGGGAAGCCCTCCCAACTTCTTTGACTACATCAAACCTCCATTCACAGCCTGCTGTGTCACTGTGAACCTCCCCTTCCACACCCTGGTGACCACTGCGATCTTGTGATCATTTGGTTAAATATGCCAGATGATTGACTCCTCAAGGACGGAAATCCCATCTGTTGTGCTTTGCCCCCCAAAGCCTGCCACACACAGCGCCTAGCACATAGCAGGGGTTATAGACAGAATAAAGCCCATGAGTAAGTGGAGGCAGCTCATCAGCAAGCCACAGCACTGGAAATGGATATTTTATGCAAACTGGCTACCATCATGAGGATTCACGTGGATTGGGATAAAAGAAGTGACCACTTCCATCCTTTCGTCCCCGCCGCACCCTGTTCCATTGGAGACCTCTTAGAAGTGATCTTCCATGGGCCTGGGGCACAATGGCCCAGGTGAGTCATCTACTTGCCCAGAAAGCTCAAAACAAATAACCTCTTTGTCAGGCCCTGTCCAGATATCTGGCTGGAACTTCTTTACTTAGTGGTCTCCCATTAGGGCGGGACCAGAACCAGTGAGGTCTTCCACCCCTGGGGGACTTGGAGCCTATCTACCACCCTTTTGGGTGGCTGTGTTCAAAAGATTCACGCTTTTGCATCTTTCACAGAATCCGGCGCTGTAGCGCTGAAAGAAAAAACCAGGGTGTGACGTGCTCGCACCCGTCTTGGCTCAGATGAGGAGGCGGAGGCCCAGGGAGGTCTCCGGTGATCCCTGTGAGGCCATGTAAAACCATGCCACACCATGCCACCTCCCCAGAGCTCTGCTTCCTGTCCCATGCTGGTCATTTCCAACATACGCTGTGTAACTCAGCCCCAGATCTTTCTGCTCGCCATGCTGCCAGGGTAACTCTGCACATCGTGGGGTCAGGTAAAGACGACGTGTGCCCAGCATGGTACAGGCACATGACAGCTCTCACGGCCAGCACTGGTAGCATGAAAGTGGCCACAGACCCCTCCCACCCCGCCCC